AATCCCTCCTCCCGGACCAGGTTATGGACCTTTCCTCAGTGCGCGTGTGAGAGGTGGCCCGGATTGAGTGGTGGCTGGGTGTGGCCCCCTCTCTCGCGCGTGCAGGAGGAGCTCTGAGTGGCATAATCCGGTGCGCATGCGAGAGGTGACCCGGATTGAGTGGTGGCTGGGTGTGGTGCCCTCTCATGCGTGCAGGAGGAGCTTGGATTGTTCAACGTTCCAGCGTTGAACCTCCTAAATCCCTCCTCCCGACCAGGTTATGGACCTTTCCTTAGTGCGCGTGCGAGAGGTGGCCCGGATTGAGTGGTGGCTAGGTGTGGCCCCCTCTTGCACGCGTGCAGGAGGAGCTCGGAGTGGTGTAATCTGGTGCGTGTTTGAGAGGTGGACTGGATTGCGTGGTGGCGTGGGCGTAGCGCGCTCTTGCACGCGTGCAGGAGGGGCTCGGAGTGGGTAATCTTGTTCCCGTGCGAGGATGGGCCTGGATTTTATGTGATGGCGTGGGAGCAGCGCCCTTTCGCGCATTAGCGAGAGGGCGCTGCTCCCACGTGTTTTTCCTGTTCCTGCAGGAGCAACAGGACCTGCCGGACGAGCATGAGCAGCATTCTTCACCTGATGGAAGAGACAGGAGCAGCAGCATCATTAATAAATGCAACATCGTATCAAAATTAAATCAATCAGTGTCATTCATGAAGTTGAAGTTGTGTCACTTCAGTCTTCAGCACTTCCTCAAAACATGAAGAAATCCTTTCTCCTTACAAATATCTCTGCCTCAAGGTTTCATGACAACATCATTCTTTGATTAAAACTGATTAAGTTTATTGGTAAATATTGACCCTTGAACCACATCTTCACACTTCAACACTGATACACACTGAATGTGTAGGCCAGTGTTGGTGGTCATCTCAAGTTCACTGTACAGATAAATCCTGTGAGTCTTTGGCACACCTTTGCGTTCATTGAACGTCTTCTTCCTTTTGATCAACTGATGGTCAAGTGTGTGGTGTTCCTGTGGAAAACCAATCCTCCTGACATCACCACCGCGTTGCTTTTATAGGAAAACATGTGAAAGGAAAAATGACACAACAGCAACAAAGACAAAACAATGTTTACAATTAAATACATGAAATACTTTTAGGTTCATGGTCATTCAGTTGGCCAAAGAACCCATCTACTTACACAAAAATGATGAGGCTGTACGGTGAGTGATGGCTCAAATTTTAGTATAAAAATGTGAATTCTATTTATTTGCCTACCAAACAGTTTTCTTCTTTTAAACAGATTTAAAAACACTTGGTGTGATAAAGTTCCTAAGCACTGTACATAATCAAAACTAACAGTCCAATAAAACTATCATGACTTTTATAAAAGTTTAATTGTACACATTCTCAGAAAAACACAAACTTGTCATAAAAACCATTTTAAAGCACTAAAATCTTTGGGACAAAGTTTCTGACAGTTTGCTTTTCGTTTAGTGTTTGTAACGTGCCAGTTCAGAGGATGCTGTGGATGCTGGTAAATGTTATTTGTGTTCTGGTTTGTAGCTTAACCATTTTTGTGCTTCCAGGTCCATTTCTTGACGGCTGGAACAGAAGTGCTGCAAACAGACTTCCTTACAACTTCTTCCCTTGCAAAAGGACATTTTATTTGCAGTTATTTGGTACAAGAAACTTCATCAAGAGTTGCTGAAACAAAGCAATTCTTTTTATTTGCTTCTCCCAGATCAGAAACCTCAACATATACATGAACAGGACGGGACAATTAAGTAAATAATAAACTAAGAACCAAACAGAACATAGAAAAATAATCAAAGATTC